TAACTATTGTATAAATAGTATTATTTAATAGTAGACAGGTCCATTACTCTTAAAAAAAAGGACAATAGTTAATGAAAATATTTTCCATTCATAAAAAAATATTAGGAAATTTTAATTAGAGTAAGAAAAAAAGCAATGGTTAATGGGACATTTTCCATTAGATACTCTCATTACAAAAGTAATGACAGTTAACATAAATTTTTTACATTACTAATGACAGAAGTAATTGGTAATGGGTGAATTTTGTACATTAATGATTAATGTAAATAATTTGCATTTTACTGATTAGAAAGGTACAATTTTTACGTAAACTTGCCAAAAAAAGGATAATAAAAATTATGCCAGAAAACAAAATTAATAGTGACACATATTACGTGGGATATCTTTTCTAAAACTAATTTGTTAGAATAGAATTTGAATTACAATTGTTATCATAAACTTAATAATAGATTTGGAAAAATTAAAATGCGTTGATAACAATTACAGTAATTCTAATCATTAAAAGCATTTATCATTTATTCTCTCCTATATTTTCGTTGTTTTTATTTCATTATTACACTAGAGGTAATCTAAAACCGCTAATTGTTTATAACTTAAAAGTCGCAAGAAAATTTTCCGATTTTTGTATAACGTTCTAATTGTTGTTGTATAGATACTTATTCGTGTTTTTTGTATTAATTTGTTTAATCAGTAAAGAATCTTAGCAAAAATAATCCAAAATTTTAGAAGGTTATGGCTATCATTCCCGGAAAATTAGTTTACCTACGAATTTAAAATTTTATACTTCTTGCTCTATATCACCATGTATTATATAAAATGCACTAATAAGTTATTCCAAAAATGCGTACATAAATTTAGTTTTTAGTAACTTACAATTCACAATTCACCGTCAGGATCATGAAAATTGTAATTTTTTGAATTCATATAAGAACAGAAAGAAATGTCTTAAAATTAACGTTGGCATTTCGTCGTATATAAATGAATGATATTTTCAAAAATTAATAAATAATTTTCAATTAAGAAGAGCAATGTTAAGTACACAGTTTTGAATTATTTGTATAAACTTCACGATTAAAGTTTATGTTCTAATTGTCCTATAAACTTTGTAAATTATTCATCTGGACGTCGGTTTAAACTAAAAGCCAACCGAACAAAACTTTTACAAGAAATAAAAAAAAATGTTAGCACGAGGTAAAAGTTGAGGTTATACGTGTGTGTTAACGCAAATCGATATGGCAAAATTTGTGTACTTACGTGACGTGTTTTTCCATTTAAAGTAACAAAAACAAAACATTTGTTGCACTTGGAATAAAAAATAAAATTGCACGTTTTAGTAACAATCACAATCACAAATTAAATGTCACAATAAACACCGCGGGAAGTTCGTGCACATTTGAAATAACAACAAATAGATTTAACTAATAATAATTTGGCTTGACTGAGCTAATGAAGGTTCATTTTTCGTTGAAGGATAATATTAGTAAATAATATCCTGTTAGCTGTCCATTTGGACATGAAAAAATCACCCTCTACCTGGTGCGACCACCTCATTTGGTGCCCATTGCTCCGCCTTCTTATTCAGCACCCACGCCAAAATGGAGTCCGTATTTAAATAAAAATTTTGCTATTTCCCTTAACTTTTAACCCGAAAATTTCACACTTACGCAACGGCGTACACCAAAGTTCTGATACTTGTGAATTCGAATTTTAAAATTGCCCCCCTTCGTTCTAAACCATTCCAGGGGTAACTGGAGGGTTGGATATAACAAAGGAAGGATTAAACTTCTGTTTCATTTGTACTTTATCCCCTAAGTAAAAAATGTAGTACTTCTGGTTTACCTCAGTATTAATAAAAAAAAATCTAACAATTGTTTTTGTACTAATCGCAAATAGAAACGCAGAGAAGCTTGACCACGATAAGGCAAATTAGCCAAACGTTTAGGTATATGTTAAAATATATTAATTAAAACGTCAATTTAATAATATAAATTATATTTCAGTACTACGTGATTCGATAAATAAAACAATATTTATTTATAAGTCAAGTACTTTTATTGAATTCAATTTTTCAAAATATTTTAAAATAATATTTGCAATAGTTATTTACTGTTCTTTATACGAAAATTAAATAAATTACAAATTAAAATATCAAGCCATACAATTAAGGACAATTTGTTAATTAAAATTCGTAATTAATAATATAGCTAATGTAATTCCTTTTTATTTTACAGAAAAACTGATTAAACATTTTAATTTATGCTACGCTTAAAGATTGTATATCAGTTATTAAATTATACTTAATCCAAAACACTTCAAAATTGTTGCCTGTACACTGCATATAATAAGAAATTCATCCATGCCTACAATAAATTACTTTTTTGTATTTCATAACAGTTTCATGCTGCTTCAATTAAATGTACTTATATTCTTATCTCAATTTTCACACATGCTATAATACTGCTTTCATAAAATTAATTATTAACTATTGTAACAACTTAAAATTAAAAAGTTTCTGTAGTTAAAATATACATTAAGTTTAAACCAGAATTAAAAGTGGTTAGTGCGATTGCAAATATAGTCTAAAAAATGTTCGTTTGATCTTATCTAAACTAATGTCGCGTGTTTCTAATGAAACTGATCACCTGGTTTTAATTAGGTTGATGCCTTTAAATTTTTCTGAAGGTTAAAATTTGGCACCCAGCTCTTTTCGCTGGATTGGCCTAATTCAGCCTATGTAGTTATAATGATCTCGCTTTCGTTATTTCCCTTTTTTTATACATGACGGTCTTTACGTATGTTTACAAAGGAAAGAGTCGACTAAAAGGAAGTTCCAGGTAGTAAAAAAAAAAACGGAACTAACTACTGAATAAGTTCTTAAAAAAAGGGAACACATTGAGTGCGTCTTTTCAATAACAGAACGATCATTGACAGAAGGTACCTCTATCTTATAACATTACACCGTGAAAAATATCTTGAATGAACAGCATATGGGTAGACCTCCGTTCTACGGTTGTTAAATAAACTTAAAAGTATCAAACTGACCTACAAAAAAGACAAATTAATTAACATGTTTATGTCACATTCATTAGATTACCGTCTTATTCGACAAATGTGGAAAAAATGCCCTTCTTGAAACCATGATGTTAACACGTCAAATGTAAAGCTCTATACAAAGATTTACCTTTAATCAAAAAAAGGATATAAATGGTACATTGTTTGTTGTATTTATATAATAGGATGGTTTATATACTTATGTCGTATCCTATGTAAGATATTCTATCGAGGAATAATTTAGCGTCCCGACGCGACGTCTGATCGAAAGCAATCTGCCGCTGTCGCATCTGCGCACGTCTAAAATTTTACAGTGAAATTCTATTTTAAAATTAGACCTTATCAGATAGGGTATTCAATGATAATTTGTGGCTTTTACAATGTAGTGGCTTTCTATATACTTTTTCTGATAGATTAGAACTGCATAATTTTGAAAATGTTTGATGATGACCGGAACAAGTAATAACAAAAGTCTAATAAGAAATATTTGTAAAATGTATAAACTAAAAAATATATACGTTTTACCAGTTTTTTTGTTAAAATTTTTCGATAATATCATTTTATAATTTAGAGTTTACACTGCATTTTTTAGTTATTAAAGTAAGTTTATGAATTCGAGAAAATTATATAATTAAAACGATCCTTTTAATATTTCAAATTTGTTACAAATTGAGCATTTAAAGCTATAAATTAGATAAATTTTGCCTGCCAAATAGCCTTTGTAAAATTTATAATTAATTTGTTTCTGAGAAATATTTTATAATATTTGAAAACTACTATGGGTCGGTACAATAAATAAAATACAAATGGAAACATTAAATATAGAACTATCATATTTGAGATATCAATTAACTAAAATTGTTTTGACTGTAAATTCTTATTATAACTAAACTGTCTAGCTAGATGGTCTTATTTGATTGAGACATCAAAAAATGGTTTTTGGTGGAATATATAAATTATTTTCAAATTTATTAGCAATATTTGCTAATTCATTCGCAATAACTTTGTGTTCTCTTAAGTTATAAACAAGTTACTTTAAATTAATAACTGTCAATGATTCATCAGCGATATACCGTATCTAGAAACTTTTTACAATAATAAAAGATTGTAATATTTTACACGATGTGTAGGTACTCTTCGTTGTGTGTGAAAATGATGAAAAGTTTGTCGTAATTGTTTCCGACTTAGGTGATAGGATAATTATGAAACAAAACGATGGTTATAATTTAAATAAAAGGATTGCTGCTTTATATTTCAAGAAAAGAGGTTTTTATATTTATTGTATTTTTAATAAATTAAGCCATTATTTATGCAGAAATAATTATTAATTAGCATAATAAAACCCCTTTTGAAATATAAAAAAGTAATTCTTTTATTTGAATTAAGCACTTAAAAGATGAATATTAATTCTTGCTTCTGAAACATTTCGAACAATTTATTAAAATATTACTTAAAATTAAACTTTTTTGGTTTTTTATTTATCACACTTTTATTAAGAAAGTTTTACCATTAAATAGTGTTTTTATTTTATTGTTACATCAGCAAGTAATTGCATATGCTAAGTTTAGGAACAGTATTGTGACGTTATACAAACGACAGCTGATGATGAATAAAAAAGAAAAATAGAAAAGTGCTGACTTGCAGCAAATGATGCATATTATACCATAAATGACACATTTTGGGTGTTAATAATATTTTATGAGTAATGACCCATAACTATTGTAATAGATTCTTTTTTTTGAACCAGAGGATACAGTACAAAGTGGAAAGGTAGAAACCTTGGTAATTTTCTTATCGTATCCTACCGATATACAAAAGATATCCGGACTAGGAGTTTTAATATTTATTTATATCTATAGTGTAATAACTTTTGTTTCTACATCTGCATTGAAACTTCTTACATCAAGCCATACAATTAAGGACAATTTGTTAATTAAAATTCGTAATTAATAATATAGCTAATGTAATTCCTTTTTATTTTACAGAAAAACTGATTAAACATTTTAATTTATGCTACGCTTAAAGATTGTATATCAGTTATTAAATTATACTTAATCCAAAACACTTCAAAATTGTTGCCTGTACACTGCATATAATAAGAAATTCATCCATGCCTACAATAAATTACTTTTTTGTATTTCATAACAGTTTCATGCTGCTTCAATTAAATGTACTTATATTCTTATCTCAATTTTCACACATGCTATAATACTGC